GCTCTTTGTTTTGTTCTCTCTCTGTCGCGCTTCCGCGTTCGTCACTAATCACCGGTGCGCATGACACGTACGTCCTGCGTCATCCGCCAGACCGGCTTCCGCCTACGACAGTTAGAAGTGAAAGAAAGGCGTTTATATTTTTTTAAATATGGATATTTTTCTTACAAAAATGAATGAATTCGCTACAGGAGGCCTTTATTCACCCCCTTGGGCCGTGTGAGGCACGTTTTATTATGAATGCGCAAGCTTTATTTGATTGACGACTTGTGGACTGTTCAACTGCAACACTCGTTGACTGTCATGATAGAGCTTGGAATAGCCAGGACAATTTTTGGTTACACTTTACTTGAAGGGGTGTGCATAAGACTGACATGACACCTTCATAATCATGACATGACACCTACATAAACATGACATGACACATGTCATGAATATGAAGGGTTTTTTATGCATGTTTATGACAACTGTCATTAAGTGTCACTTGCTCAGTTATGTAATTTTTAATGCAAAGCTGACATTGTTTGAGATGTCTTTGTTATGGGCTATGGTTAGGGGTAAGGGTAGGGTTAGGTCAAATAATGTCATATTTGCATTAAAAATGACATAACTGAGCGAATGACACTTAATGACAGGGATGGATGCGCTTTATTTCACTTCTTTTGGACTGATGCACTGCAACAGCCGCTGACTGACATTAAACAGCTTGGAAGATCAAAGACAATTTTTAATATAACTCCGATTGGATTCATCTGAAAGAAGAAAGTCATATACACCTAGGATGCCTTGAGGGTGAGTAATTCATGGGCTAATTTTCATTTTGGGTGAACTATCCCAATTTCATCTTCATTTCAATAAAAATGTAAACATTAATTTACCAAAAATATTTCTGTAGGAAACACTTTTATTGACTATCAGCAAGATTTTCTTTATCATACATCCCTGTTTTTCCTCAAACATATCCCAAAATTGCTTTCTTTCCCCCTTTTTGTTCTTGCAGCCATTAGTAACAGCGTAGCAACTGTGTGCAATGGTCCAGGAGACATAAGCTGTTTAGACTCCCCGTACTTCCCCCCTCTGGAGAGTTTACACCGAGGAGCCCTGAACCATGATGATCAGCTTAGCTATGCTACAAACGGAGACAGCGGCTGCCTCAGCATGCTGGATTCTGGCTTCTACCGCTCGGACCTGGGCCACATCAGCGTGTGCAGCACCAAAGACTGCGAACGGCCCTCCAAGAGGCTCAAGATGGGCCTTTCGGAGTCCTTCATCAACGACGTGTCTGTTACTAACCTGGACTTCGAGGGCAGACGCGCACATTGCATTACAGGCGCCACAATGGCAGTGTCGGTCACAGACTTCAGCAGCATAGGGAGCAGCGAAACTAACGGTTTTCTCGGCTCTCATTCACGACACAACCAACACACTGCACTTCAGTCCGACTGACTCTCTTCTGCCATCCAGACACACATTCATCCGCTCACTGACTATTAGTTCTTTTTTAAATAAAAAAAAAAAATCTCTATTATATATATATTAATATACTTTTTGGTCGTTTTTTTTTTGTTTGTTTGTTTTTGTAATATGACATCAGTGATGTCTTTATTGCACAGAGCTAAGAAATCTTGATTTCTCAAGAGTTTAAATAGCCATTTATTTTTCTGGTCCTTCAGATATTTAATATCCTTTTTGTCTTCGGTGATATACAGTTAAACCTAAATGCTGGAGCAGAGAGCCGTGGTCTCTTACTGTACTCATCCCGACACCTGCATCTTTAAGTTTTACTGTCTCACAAAGTTGTCGCTGCCACCGAAACTGCATTTTTTGTTGTTGATGTTTTAGGATTTTCCATGTATGTGTTTTTGTTTCAAAACTTGGTACTTTTTTTCAGTGTTTACACCACACGAGATAGACTAAGCCTTGGGAAATGTAGCATTTTGTATATCAGGAAACTGGCTTTTGTAATTGAAAATAGTGATTTCTTTGGAGCAAAAGACAAAAAACAAAGCAGCAAAGAGCACTTCTAGTTGCTGAGCTTTTTTTTTTTTTTAAGGAAGCCTTGAGATATCCATGTTTTTTATTATCCAAATGAGGTTTTGGATCTCGTTATTGGTTGGTGAGTTAGGATGTTTTTAAGTGTAAGCTTTAAACTCAATTTATTGTGGTAATCCAAACATTTAATAACTTTTCTTTTGGTTGATGCTTTTTCTCCTATTTTTTCCCCCTTTTATATTTTGCTTAATTCTCAAGTAGCATGACTGAAATGAATACAGATTGAATCTTTCTCAACTGCGCACTGTAAAAAAATTTTGATTTTCCAGTCCCCAACATTTGGCACTCAAATAATAATAATAATGTAAGCTTCAGTATGATTATATTAGACAGATTGACTCTATAGGGCAGTCATCTACACTTGACAGTATTATCATTAGTTGTGTATAAATATTAGACTGTGAGAAGTGATGTTTATGATCCCCCTTTGAGCTTATGAAGCTGTTTAAATGCTACTCATTACTATCACAGGTTATTTTTATTTTATTTTATTTTTTACAAATCATCAGCAACTTCTGCTGGTGCTCTAAACTGCAGGCGCTTTAGTACCGATTAAACCAGTGTTATTTTTATTTTCAGTTATGCATTATGTATATTTTGTAGCTGCCAGGGGTACTGAGAACACCTGAATGTTAATTGAGCTAATTGCTAATCACTCTTTACCTCTCTATGTTAAGCTCACTGTCTTAAGTTCTTTACCATTGTTGTATATTGTATGCATGAAGCAGATTGGACTCTTGTTGATCCTTTTGACATATTTCAAGCTGATAAATATTAATTGCCAAAAAGCAGTCAGCTTGCCGCACTATCAAAACCGATACCGCCTCTGAGTTTGAGACCTTCCTGCTATTTGCATTTTAAAACAATTTACCATAGAATTAATTTGTATACTAAAAGCCCTGACTTTGATTAGGGCAATGCAGAATGCTAAAAAAATGGTCTTGTTTATGGCAATAATATGTAGATATGTATAGATTGTTGTACTTCTGTAAGTCTTACAATATTCATCGCTTGTTTTCATCTTTGTTTTGTTTACTGCAGTAAGAGACGTCAAAAAGATGCATGCTGATTTGTTTTGGAGAGAGAGATGGAAAATCGTAGAAATGGAAATAATTTATGGACACTCCCATTTAAAGCCATTTGTTCAGCTCTTTGCTCGGTAGACTGAGGAGTTTCATTTGTTCACCGTCATTCTTACTCCTGATACTTAACGGCTGCTATTAGTAATGTGAAGAGTCTATTTTCTATTAAATGCACTGCAGTTGCAATTATAAGTCGAGTTGAAAGTCTTGTGCATCTACATTGTTGTTAATACATCGAGAAGTACTTGTTAGTAGCATGTTTGGAGCTGCGAATACAGACGATGATCGAAATGGATCTGTAGATGCCATTATTCCTTGACATGGTTAGAAAGCACTACAACGTGTTTTACTCTGTCAGTTTTTTGTTTTGTCTGAAATGTTTTCAGTATCTGTACGTCCAGCAGAGAACTTTATCATGCTCAACATACAACAAATGTAGTACTTGGTGCTCATATAAAAAGTTTTTATTTTCATACTTTTAAGTGTCTGTGCTCCTACTATTATGTATTAGTACTTTTTATAAATTATACAGTGAATTTCAGCTTTGCTGAAGAATTTCAGAGTTGCTGAAGCACATTTATCCCCAAATATTTGCAGATTGTTTCAATTTAAAAACAAACTAAAATACCAGAATGTACAGGTTGTTTTGACCTATAGAAGTAAACATTTTACAGCTTAAAAATATTGAGAGAAGTTTGGTAAATTGTCCTCAGTGGATTTGGGTGGGTGTGTGTGTGTGTGTGTGTGTGTGTGTGTGTGTGCGCGCTTTATGTATTTAATTTAGAATTTTAAAAGAATTATTAAATAGGTTTTCACATTCAACAAGGGGGGGGGGTATAAATGCATATCCATATATACAGACAATCATAATTAATTACAGAATTATTCAGATATCGCTATTGTTTATAAAATATGTACATATAATTGTATTGCTTTTTGTTTGGTTTTTCATTATTTTGTATTTTTGTTGTACTTTATTACTTGGTGTAAAAAGCTCCAGAAATAAAAGCCCTGGAAACAAATGTGTGGTAATTTGACTGAAAACAACATGACATCCCACTCCAGTATTTAAAAAGAAGAAAAAAAAAGATGGTTATGGCTAAATAAAGCAAGCAACACAAGCTTTCAAAAATTAGTAAATATTTTAATTGTTCAGTTTCACAATACTCGTAGTGATCCATTTTGTTTAGACCTGTAGAATATGCTGGCACTCGGATTAGTGCTTTTCTCTGAATCCAGAACATACAATGCAATGGAAGAGGAAATTCATAAACTGTTCATGACGGTCATTAGAGGTGCTAGCCAACACAACACGCATTAAATAACAGATGGACTGAGGAATAAGAAGGCAAAGAGTTCTGCATTTTAATGTAAATACAGAGCACCTAAATAATGAAATGACCAAGCACAGGCTTTACAGCTGTCAAATAATATGCATGTACAATAAAGCTGTAATTTAATTTGGTTTGCTGTATAACATTATGAACTCTTATACTGAAAAAAAATGTCAGGCAACTGATTTTGACAAATAGAATCTGATTGAATGAACCGGACCAGACAACAGTCACTCTGGCCCACCACGCTGAAAGAAAGAAGAAAAACTATTATCAGTGGTTTGTCCATGTTCATGTCCATTATTGTTTACTAATCTTGTTAGCATTCATAATTTTGTCTGTTTAGCTTCAGAAAAATCCAAAATGTTCTTTACTGTCATTTCAAATGAACGTGAACACTAACCTGGATGTAGTCCATTTCATCGAAAGAAAGGGTTCTTCTGCGGTATTTGTGAGGGAGATCTCCAACTACATCAATGCTGTCAGGGGTGCCAGGCAGTCGGCTGACGGGTCCCGGTGGTCTGGGTGGAGGTGATATTGATGCTGTAGGTGGAGGTGCGGATGGGGAGATCTGTGGGAGACTGGCTGCAAGCACCTTCAGTGCCTCTTGTACTGGAAATACAGCACACGGAAAAGGTGTTACCAACAAAGTAGTGGTGAGCCAGCTTTAATGTTTGCTACCATGATTTAAAAAAAAAAAAAAAAAAAAGTTTGTCGTCTTAATTTTACTGCACTTTCACTAAAACGTCTAATGTATTAAACAAATAAAAATACTGTATTTCCCAAAATAATGGATAAGCTAAATTCAATGACAGCAACATATGGGCTTGTTACTGACCATTTGGCTTAAGGATGCCCTTCCGATCTGGAAATTTAATTAAAGGTGCATGAGGTCGCACAACCTGCAAATGAATAAATCTAATGAGAACAGCAAAACAACACAGTTGTGCACAAGTGACTTGTCTACAAGGTTTTAAGAAGGTACATTTAAGACTTTTGAACCTTTAAGACCTTAAGATTTTTAAGCCCTTTCCCCAACCCCCAAAGTCTTGTTTGAAGTGAATTGATTCAAAATAAAGAACAAATATCTGCTAGTGAGCTGAGAAAGAAAGAAAAAAAATCAACTTAATTTAAAGCAAAAAGTGTTTTCACACCCCAATGACAGATATTTGTTCTTGTTTTAATCATAAACCCATATCATTATGTTCAAATTCTGCGAAAACCAGACTTCATATCTTTATTTTGCATCTCAAGTAATGTATCTTGATTTATGTACATTTGGATGTTTGTTTCAGAAACCAAGACATAATGCTTTATATTTTTCACAATATATGCAACATTCAATGCCATGGCTATAGATTTTCGACTTTCTGCTCCGATTTAAGATGTTTTAAGGCTTTAAATTGTGGAAAGGTGAATTAAAACTCTTTAAGTCTTAATTAACCTGCAGAAACCCTGTATGTATGCTTCAAAACCCTTTTAGAGACTGCATTTTATTGTATTTACTGTACTCAATGCTTAATGTGCTCTTGAGATGGCATTGTGGTTTACAGGAAAGAAATATACAGAGAAGATACTTGGTTTGCCCACAAGGGCATCTGTCAAACCAGGGAAATCAATGCGTTTTGGTGAAGTAAAAACACTCAAGATCAAAATGACTAAATACTTGGCAGATAAGTGATCATCGTTTCAACAATGCACCCATACGAACGAGATGTCACAACAAAACACTCAGTGTACAAGCAGAAGCGAGTGTTTACCTGCACGACCCGACTGGCAGCTGCCATCTTGCCACTCACTTTGCTTCCCATGTCGACATCCGATCACTGCTTCCGGTTCAGACACACAAAATGAACGCATTAGCAACCTGAAGAGGGCGCGGTTGTATTAGAACTCAACGCTGCAAACAAGCAGCGACGGGAAGTCAGAGTCATTTCCGCGAATCGGTTCTTTTGAACAGTTCGTTGAAAAGAACTGGTTCAACAATTGACTTGAATTCTTCAGACCGATTCTACAATCCGACTCAACTGATTCACTGAAAAGACTCGACCTAAAAGTTTTGATCGCTTCTGCTTTTAGACTTGGCAACCAGACGAGGGCATGTAAGGACTATCATAAAGGACAATTCATGCTTAAATGTTGCATTATTTAGTTAGAAATAACTACAATCGTTACCTTTACTGATAAAGTGCGAGTCTACAGCAGAGAAGCGGTCACATTACTGAATCATATGGAATGAACTTGAAACAGGCTGTCAATTCATGCACACGTACATGCGAATTTTTCTAATTAATGAGCTTTAATATCACACATCAATATTAGATTACTGCAGCAAAATTAATTTATTATACAATAGCTCATCCTGCTAACATTCATCACAAGTGGTTCTGCCTTTAAAATAACGCTACATTTCAAATCTATAGAGCCACGATTCTTAATAAGCACAATAAACATACAGTCTTACCAACAAAACGCTATCTAGTATTGTATTATAACCTTATTTTCCCATGTTGACCTCCGAAACACACTAAACACTGGGCTAATCGTGGCCTATGACGGCCATCCCTTTATTCTGCTCATGCTTAGATTAATGCAGGTGGGCGGGGTTTCGTGGATCATCACTGTGGTCACATGACAGTCACGTGACGCCAAGACTTCCTGGCGGCAGTTTAGACTGAAAGCAGTACATCACCCCTGTGCGTAGGTGGCGGTAATACTCCTAAGGAGTGAACGGCCATTGAACAAAAAGAAGAAGAAGACTGGTTTGAAGTCGTGCGGTTTGGAAGCTTGCAATAAAAAGTAATATTAGTAAACAAAAGCAGGAACAGAAAGAACAAGAAGCGACGGTAAGTGAAACGGAAAGTTGTTTAAATACGCTTACTTGGTTGGTGAAGTTAAAAAAAAAAAATCCTTATACGGTTATTGTAAACAAAGGAATTAATTGGTTATACGCTGCGGGAACATTGGATATGTTCAAAGCTCATTTGACAGCCATCATTGATGCTTTAACCCGCTGTTGTTATCAGTTATCTATTTTGTATCATAAATCTAAAATAAAATCTATATACACTTTATATCTAGGGTCTCTAAAACCTTCAACCGAACTTTGAATAGGATTTCTGGTGTTTTTATTTCTGCACAGATATAACGTTACAAAGATGAGTCTCAGTAATCATGATGAACGCTCTTCAGATGTTGATCCAGCTGAAATAAACAACAGTGTTCCTGATACAGCATCAGCTTCTGAGGGGGTGACACCCACACGTTTATTAAAGTGATTTTCCATTATTGCATTATTTTATTTGTATCTTCTTGCACTAATGCGTAGAGCACTATATGTGACCCTGGACCACAAAACCATAAGGGTAAATTTTTTTTTTGAAAGCTGAATAAATAAGCTTTTCATTGATGTATGGTTTGTTAGGATAGGGCAATATTTGGCCGAAATACAACTATTTGAAAATCTGGAATCTGAGGGTGCAAAAAAATCAAAATATTGAGAAAATCGCCTTTAAAGTTGTCCAAATGAAGTTCTTAGCAATGCATATTACTAAACAAAAATTAAGTTTTAATATATTTACAGTAGGAAATTTACAAAATATATTCATGGAACATGATCTTTACTTAATATCCTAATGATTTTTGGCATAAAAGAAAATTCAATCATTTTGACCCATACAATGTATTTTTGGCTATTGCTACAAATATACCCCAGCGACTTAAGACTGGTTTTGTGGTCCAGTCACATATACACAATATGTAATAGATAAGTATAACTATACTCAGTCTGTTTCTTTTATGTCTTGTTTTTTTCTCTCCGCAAGAATGAAAGAAATAATGGAAAATCAGTGTTTCGAAATGAATGTTAAAGTCAGCATGGGTAAGCTTAAATTTATGCTTGAATAAACAACACTTATATTGACCACTAATAATTAACTTAATGCTAATTGTAGTGTTTGTTTCTAAGGAAAACATAAAGAGTCATGTGAAGGTGATGCAGATCTGTAAGTGTGTTTGAATTTATGAATATGTATGTTTGTACATATACAATATGTTACAAAATAACCTGACGTTCGTATATTTAAAACTATGTAGATCCAAGTATGAAAGTGAAATAGAGCAGGCAAGACTCTCACATTTCAACAAAACGCTGGTATTGAACAGGTAAAGATGCTGTGGTATTACATAATTTTTTTAAATTATTATTATTATTTTTTGCAATCCAATGTCCAGCTGTGTCCAAAGTGATTCTTTGTTTTTGTGTAGAATGCAGATTTGGAACGTCATTACTGAAAAGATGATTCAGAATGATGCAGATGCTGAGTGAGTGAATCCTAATTTAAATACGTCTTATCTATGTAGTCTGATATTCAGTTACCGTAATAATATTTTTCATTATACAGGGCACTTAAAGAACTGACCCATCAGAACACTGAGCTCTGTGAAAAGACCATGAAAATGTTAAAGGTGGGACATTCCCTGCTCTGCTATATGTTTTAGAAAGAGCATTGTCATTTTATGAATAATTCAATTTGTAAACAATTTTATGGCCATATAACACTTAACTGCTGATCTTTTTTTCCAGGAAACACGAGAGCTTCAGGACCAGATCACAGATATCCAAAAGGAAAGACTTGGTACTTACTATTAGGATTGCAAAAAGGTGGAAAATTTCCAGTAAATTTCAGTAACATTCCAGAAATTTTGGAAACTTTCCAGCATTTTTTGGAATATTCCAGGGATTTTTGGAAATTTTCCACCCCTTTGCAACCCTACTTACTATTTTAATGAAGCATTTTCTGCTGTGATTTTGCAGTTTCTTAGAAAATAATCTCATTCATGTTTACCTAGACCTAAAAGGACAAATTAAGAAGAAAATGCAGGAGATAAATGAGTTGAAACAGATGAAGGAGAACCAAGGAGAAGTTCAACAGAGAGCTAAGGAAAGAGCAGAAGCGGTCCTACAGAAATACCAGAAGGTCACCACCATTTTACAAAATGTGTTGCGGGTATGTGGTTTCTCAATGTTTGCTTGTGTACATATTCAAATTTGATCTACCTTGCTGTCTATTTATTTAGAAACACTGCATTTTGAACCTCTTTGTCATAAAAATCTTGCTTTCAGGGAATCATACTGGCCAGTAAAGTCAACTGGAGGGATGATCCTAAATTAAGGGACATTGCAATGGGACTAGAAAACATTCCCAACTAAAGACCTGTTTGAACACAGTTCTCCAATTAATGTATATACTTTACCTGTAAATGTGCTCACTGTTACCATGTTCAGTGTAATGTATATTTAAGCTTTTTATAACAGCTCATTTGAGAATGTTTTAGTAGCATTCTGCATGTGAGATAAATGAACTGATTTCACCAATGAATTTACTTTTTAAAATAAAGTTCAGGCTGATCCTGTAATAAAGGTTTATATAATCACATTCATTACCAGTTTTACTTCTGTAATGCCATGCATTTGAGCGAAACAGGTTATTCAACAAGTAAAATGGCAACAAGTCAGTGGTCTAAGACATGCAAAAGTGCAGTGTTGGGGTGCCTCCAGGACCAGGGTTGGGAACCACTGGTCTAAGTAACGTCAATGATACAGAAAAGAGGAAGAAAATGACATTGTTTTCGGAATAACGTACTGATAAATCATTCACAATAACACCAAGAATGTGCAAGAAAAGTTTTGATTTTGATGACATGGTAAACAACTGGACAAAACAACCTTTTACAAAGTATTTTATTTTCCAGTCACTTTAAGTGAAAAGTTTTAATGCAGACATAAAAAAAATACAGACGTGATTTAATAAAGTTCTTGCAGTAGGAAAGGTAAATTGTATCATATTTTCACCACCTGTCCTGCTATACATGGGCTCACTCTCTTCCCCTCCACCAGCACAGGGTTTGGCTGAATGAGTAACCTTCCGTAAGTCCCGCCCACCTGTCCTTTAGTGAGACGACCAGGATTGACACACACACACAGCCAATCACATCCTGAGAAATAATGCAAAATTAGTTTTCCAGTCAGAATTAATATAACCTTTTATTTGACATGGTATCAACGTATCTGAAAATGTGAGTGATTTACCTTGATGAAATACCATAGTTCAGAAGGAACGATAAGAATATCAGGTGTGAGGTTCATTTGGCCGAATTGCTGAAACTTGTCATAATCCATGTTGACTTCCTACGCAGGAGGATAGAGAGGATAGTAGCTAAAAGAACAATGAAATGAAATCTCAAGAATAGCAGAAAAGAGCACAGGCAAACAACATTTTACTACTAATCAAACCTGAGGTAATTTCATTTTAAAGATGAGAAATGACTATGCTCTACTAACCTTCTCTGGGTCAACATGTGTTTCATGATCCGCGAGAAACGTTCTGTGCCCGTGCCACTGCAAAAACCATAATTATACCGTAAATCAGTGCTTGTGCTCACTCATTCCACTGAACATTAATGAAATAATGTAAATTCACATGTCAGTTTTAGGTTGTTTTCATGAAATAATTACTAGCTGGTTCATTAGCATTACCTGCTGATCTCTTCAGCTCCCATATGAAACAGAATGTCTGTAGAGGTCAGGCCAAATGTCACATTACCAATGAGGAACGTGCAGGGGTCAGGGGCTAAGGTCACTCGCTAGGGGTGGAAAATGTATATTGAACAACAAGAGTAGACAGAAACGGTTTAATTATTCAGTTTAAGCATTAAGACATTAAATAAAGCCATGCCTTTCTAATTACGTTTGCCCTGAATAACACAAAGATAAGTTCATGATATTAATCACCAGCACTTAAAAATAAAGACGACGGCCAATTAGATTCAAAGCATTTAGCTAATCATCTCACCGCTGAATCATCTTTGCTGAGGTCGCTCAGGTTGAAGGGTGGCTGAGGATAAATGTAATGATGATGGACATCCCTCTGAGATGGCACAAACACTAACCTGCATCCCGACCTATAATAAAAGAATGCATGCAATGAAAACAGTTGTACATTGTGAGCACTTCCTAAATACGCAAAGAAAAAATGTATATACACACCCTTTGGTTCCTTCTACTATGCTGTCAACACATCTCTTGAAGATGTTTTCAAATGTTTCTGTTACCTGGTTTTTCTGTTGAAATGGTTGAGCATCAAATGGTTACATTTGTGGCCATGATGAAAAATGTTAATACAGGAATTTCAAAAACACACAAAACCTGGTTTACCTCAATCTGCTCATGTTTGGAATCAACAAAAGGCCCAAACTATAAGAGAAATAAATAGTTAATTACTAGTCAAAAATTTCAGATTTAAATAAATTGTATTAACATGTCCCTAAAAGCAGTCATACTCTTATGATAGAGAGATAAATATACCTACCAGAATGCACACGTCAGGACGATCTTTATTGATGATAGTAATGAGGTCAATCAGAGGGTCATAGGTCAGACTTTCAGAGGGGGTGTACGGTCCACAAGCCATCATGACCATCACAGGCTCAGACACTGAGAATTTGTGTCATGAAGGGTTTAATGAGCATTGATCTCAACAGGGAAGTTCTTAATACATTTTCACCAATCTTACCCTCATCCATTTCTTGTTTCCCTTCGGAAGGACAGTAAAAAGGCAGGGGAATACCCTGGTGGGGAAACAAATCACAGAATAAATATCATAACTCACAATTTACCAAATTCTAACTTAACCCAAACAGGTTTCATTTAAAAAGTGCCAATTGTGAGAGATACCTCGTATAGTTTGGTAGCAACAAACCTCTCCCCAGAGGGATTCATACCTTCCATCACGACAACCTACAGAAGAGAATAATAGAATGTTGCTAATATAGATAATAATATATGCCAAACACATTGCATAATTATTAAAGATGGGGGAAAAATACATCCCCTGGTACATAATAATCAGAATTTTAAGTGAATTACTAAAAATTCTGGTTCCTGAAAATTATATGTAATATAAAAATATTACTTCGTAATAAGATAAATACAAACATAAAAGAAAAAGAAAAAATATGCATCAAATAGTAGGTGTGTATCTCACCTGTCCAGGAAAAAGTGAGAACTCTTTGAGCTCAGACAGATCCACAGGCACCTGTCTGCCCCCCTGTTCCTGTCTGGCCTCCAGCAGCACAGATTGAGTATTGAGCTTCCCGTTACTGTCACAACACACTTGCCCCAGCACTGTGATGCTATCCTACAAGAGAGAGAGTAAATAAAATGAGATCACATCTCGTTCAAATGGATACCCACAGACTGTAGAATGAACTTTTGCAGACAGATATTTTCCTTTTTATCACTTCAAAAATAGAATTATTTAGCCTCTTTTCTTTATAATGTCCACGGTAATGTCTGTGCTTGTACCTGAACAGGTAATGAAACTGGAGAGAATTCCTCTATGTTAAAATGACTTCGCAATTCCTCTCCGAGTTCTTCAATCTTTTCGGTCAAAACTATAGACAACATAGAGAACATACATAAATATCAAAAAAGACAATCTGTATGTTTCATGCAACACAAACACAAATCTACATCCCGCCATGCAGGTAGAACTGTTGCAGTAATTGTGGAAGAATCCACATCCAACATGAAAATGCACATTTGGAAAAGAACAAAAACATGGCCTCACCGTCCCGCACGTCTCTCAGTCTCTGGAACATGTATTTGTAGCTGCTGATGAGTGAATTCTCTCCTCCTTCTAGCATCTCAACCCTCACAGCGCTCTGTCCTTTACCCGTCCACCGAGGACCCTGCACTGCCCCAAACGACGAAACCACCTCTCCTCGCCCACCACGCGTGCCGTATTTTTGAGAAGGGGTTGCACTACACAAACACATAACACAACTTTATTAAAGTTAACTATATTAAACTGATTATATCATCTGGAAGTTAAAAGGTTACCATGCCAATTATTCCACACTGTCTTTAAGGTCATTTTTAGAAGGTCAGGTTATGGTTGCACTGGCGATTTTAAATCTGAATAAATGTTTGATGATCTTATTACCTTGATGAAAAGCTGGCAGGTGACAGCAATAGACTGGGACTGGTGAGTCGGGCCACACCTCTCTTGGACTGAGGATGTTCTGGGGTGGTCAGCGCATGCTTCTGAGAGCCCTGCAGTCACATAGAGATAGGAATACATTTAAATTTGTGCTTTCTTACCAATCCAGTTTCCAAGAAAGACAATTTCAATATACTGAAAATGACAGCATTTAAGCAGATCAAATAAAAAAATAGTTGGGTTTACTTTTAAGAGCTGAGCTATACAAGATTTTCTATCTATCCATCTACATTTCCATCAAGCGTCCCATATTAATCCGTCTCCAATTTTTCTTACTTTGGCAGGTGTTGAATAGGAATCTAACAAGCTCTCCTCTTCCTCTTCTGCTCGGATTCTGTGCGACTCTGTTAAGAAAATTACTTTGAGCATTTACAGTGAATAAAATACCTAAAAATTGCATCAAATTCAACCCAGTGATTGTTTGAGCGATTAAGGATACAGTTCCTGGATAGAGTTTATGTCTCTTGTCTTGTTAAACTGGATTCCCTTTGATGAGCCTTTAGGCTTTTTCTTCTTGTTCAGCATCTGTAAGGAGTACAAAAACAGTACACAAATTAAGCAGGGAAACATAGGGTTTCTTATTCATTAAGGCATCTCTGGAGATCTTACAGTATCTGTGTTGCAGTTATCATGTTTTGCACACTTATACTAACTTCATGTTCAAACTGGTCCAGATTAGCAAGAGTGAGAGGCAGCTGGTCTCTACTGGAGCTTAAAGCAAACCACTCAAATACGATCTCATCCCCCTTCAGTCTGTGACACAAACACTGCTCCAACACTACAAGAGACCAAGAGACAATTATTACAGCATATGACCACTGTAAGAGTGTAATATAATATAATATATAATATATATATTGTATAGATATATATATGTATATATGTGTGTGTGACCCTCTCTGTGAAATCCAGGCTAAAGTCTCAATATCTAATAATGAGATAACAAGCATCAAAGTTTGATTTCAACCATTAATTTCACTATGATTTCAATCTTTGACATGGTCTTACTCAGTCAATATTAAATCACGGTTAAATTTTCACATAATGTTATTTACCTTATGAAGGATGCTTTTATGTAGAAAACCGTAAATCACACACACAAAAAAAAAAAAATTAGCTGGGTTTTCACAGCCAGGGTCACACACACATATATATATATATACACACACACACACTTATATATTCTTCTTTTCTTATTATATATTACATATATTCACTAAATTCGTATTTATAATACTATATTAACAAAAATTAAAACAACATAAAAAAAACTTGACATTTACTTTTATCTACAGTGTCATTATTGAAGGCGATGTTGAAAGTGTCCAGTTCACATTTGATGTCCTCTGCAGTGACTGATGCCATTGTTATTGTGTCCTCTGATGTTCAAATATGAAGAATCTGTAATTTAAGAACAGAAGCAAGAAGATGCATAACGTTACATGTTCCGAATAACAGATTTCATCAGTCGCAATTGTATCAAAGAGAAATATTAGAGTCCAGCTAACGTTAAATAAAACACTGAACTGGCGCTAAACACAACAACTTGACAACCTATTTTGCTTTCTAACGTTAAATACAATTTTATTCGGCGGAAGATAAAACTCGAAATAAGAAACTTATCTTTAACACAGATTATATAGTAATATTAAACATTACCTTCTATATTAACATAAAAAAATCAGTAGTCATATTCCTCCTCAATCTGTGCATCACGTTCGGATTACCTTGAAAAAGAACCCGCAAAACAGCACTGAAAGGTCACTTCCGGTTCCGCCACGTGTCCTCCACGACGCCAGAGGGAGCTCGAGGCTGTCGACTGATTTCCATCCGATCAGCTGAGAGAAACCAAAGGAACTAAAGCCAGCAGTTGCTGCACGTGTTTACGATACAGTAAACGTATACGCACAGTTGTACTGTAAATTTGACAATTTGGAATCTCAAACATAACTTATCAAAATGCCGAAGGTTAAAGCTGAGAAAAAATCTCGACAACACCAGGAGGTGAAGAGTCAAGGTAGGTTGCGTTCATGTTTTGTACTGTGTGTGCTATATGACTAAGAAAATGAAGCCTGTTTTTTTGGACCATAAAGAATGTTTATTGTGACATTATTTATGACGTTTAAACTTTCAATGTTTATTGATCTGTTTCAGGAATTATGTTCAATACTGGTATTGGTCAGCATATTTTAAAAAATCCATTGGTTGTCAACGGACCCTGTTTTTTTGGACCATAAAGAATGTTTATTGTGACATTATTTATGACGTTTAAACTTTCAATGTTTATTGATCTGTTTCAGGAATTATGTTCAATACTGGTATTGGTCAGCATATTTTAAAAAATCCATTGGTTGTCAACGGACCCTGTTTTTTTGGACCATAAAGAATGTTTATTGTGACATTATTTATGACGTTTAAACTTTCAATGTTTATTGATCTGTTTCAGGAATTATGTTCAATACTGGTATTGGTCAGCATATTTTAAAAAATCCATTGGTTGTCAACGGACCCTGTTTTTTTGGACCATAAAGAATGTTTATTGTGACATTATTTATGACGTTTAAACTTTCAATGTTTATTGATCTGTTTCAGGAATTATGTTCAATACTGGTATTGGTCAGCATATTTTAAAAAATCCATTGGTTGTCAACGGCATCATAGAGAAGGTCGGTAATGTGGATTTTTGAAATTTTCTGTCATTTTCATTTTATATTTCTGGCATGTCATCTTTCTGCTAAAGAAGGTAACAGCTTTCTGTATGTGTCAGTGTCACCACATTGTATCAGCACAACATAATCTGTGTGTTGATTTAACACAAAAGTGTCTTTGCAGGCAGCATTGCGACCAACAGATGTGGTTCTGGAAGTTGGTCCTGGAACTGGTAACATGACTGTCAAACTTCTGGAGAAAGCCAAGAAAGTAAATGTTACATTAAATGTTTATTCTTGGATTTTCAGTAGCTATGCATATTTATTTTTTTATTATATTCACATAATTACTTCATTTACTATAATTCAAAGGTGGTTGCATGTGAGTTGGACACCAGACTTGTTGCTGAGCTTCAAAAACGAGTCCAGTGCACGTGAGTGTTTTTCATACACATTCATTGCCACTGTTGTCAAGATCTCAGCACCTGTTTGACCGAAAAATCTGTTTTCAATGCAGTCCAATGCAAAACAAGCTTCAGATCCTCATAGGAGACGTCCTCAAGACAGAGCTCCCCTTTTTTGATGTCTGCGTGGCTAACTTGCCATATCAGGTATTGGTTCAGAGATTTGTTTCTTTTTTTCACTGTAGATCTGTCTTAAGAGTTACTGGTGGTAACACTTCACGAGGTCCTATTTAATAGTTAATGGTAGTTAATGCATTAACTAACGTTCAGCAACACATTTGTTTCAGTATTTATTACATTTTTTAGCATTAGTTATTGAAACAACTGTTAATTTTTTTGTTGCTGTTTTTTGTTTTTTAGCTCAGGTCCAATAGATAATATTAACAGATTTGATTTTAATAATGTGCCGTGTTTGTAAATGTTGAAATTAACAGAAACTAACTGAGATAAACTTTAGAAGTATTTGTCATGTTAATGTAGTTAACAAATGAAACCTCATTGTAAAGTGTTAACAAATCACTGGTATTCACATTGATTTTTTTTTCTAGATATCATCACCTTTCGTGTTCAAGCTGTTACTTCACAGGCCGTTTTTTAGGTAAGAAATTGGAGAAACTGTTTTTCAGGCTGGTTCTGTAAACGTGAATGTAGAATAGAGTAAACAAACTACTGTTTCACTCTTTAAATTGAAAGATACTGCCATCATATTGAGCATTATGATTTCTTCCGTTCATATTTGTAAGAGTGGCTAATTTTCTCCCCATTATACTGTCTACGACTTTATAAAACCAGTTAAAACCCACTGCATTACAATGGAAAATAATAATGAAATGTTAGATCAGTTTGAGTTGAGTTTTGTATTTATTTTGTCTGTAGGTGTGCTGTGCTGATGTTTCAGAGGGAATTTGCCATGCGGTTGGTGGCTAAAGCTGGAGACAAGCTATACTGCAGGCTGTCCATCAACACACAGCTCCTAGCCCGTGTGGACCACCTCATGAAGGTTGGTGCCTGCTCAGATTCATTTAATGCATTCTAGGGCTGCACGATTATGACAAAACTCATAATTGTCGATTATTCCCTTGAAATTGTAATTGCGATTATTAATTACGATTATCACAATTTACATTGAATGATGTTTACACCATTGTTTGATGCAACTGCATGCTGTATTTTTATATGAAAATAAACAAGCTGAAAACACTCTAACTGAAAAACTTTTAGTACTTTTCAATAGTATTAAGCCTCAAATGTCAAATATACATCGGATTGTTTTTTTCTTTAAATTATAAAAAAAAAGTACAAATATGATTGGTATTATAATGTTATACTAAAACTAAAACAATGGAAAAACCCTTAAGATAACATGTAGAAAGAAAAAAACTTAAATCTTACTTACTGAAAATCTTAAGTGTGCAGAATAACATAAGTGGACTTTGAACGATTAATTGCCGCTTTGAACGATTACGTAATTGTGGCATCCATAATTGTAATTGCGATTAGAAATTCGATTAATTGTGCAGCTGTAATGCATTCTCATCATAATTCATATGTAAAATCTTGCACTAAAATGTTATGCTTATGAAGGTGGGAAAGAATAATTTCAGACCACCTCCAAAAGTAGAGTCCAGCGTGGTGAGGATAGAGCCCAAAAATCCTCCACCGCCTATCAACTTCCAGGTAAGTGTCCTTATTAATTAAAGTGTGTATACTGACTTTGCAGTTATTGAAAATAATATAGTCTTGTTTTTCCACATTTATAGGAATGGGATGGTCTTGTCAGAATTGCATTTGTCCGAAAGAACAAAACACTCAGTGCTGCCTTCAAGTAAGACATCCCCAAATGGCGTTTTGCTGAGTGATCAATAGTAATACATTTAAGAAGCTGGCCAGTCATGATATGGAACTGACCTTTTTTTTTTTTTTTTTTAATGTAGATCTGCTGCGGTTGAACAGTTATTGGAGAAGAACTACAGAATCCATTGCTCCGTGCACAACATGGTGAGTCTGCTTCACTTTGACACTTTAAATATACTTGACTTGAGACACCATTATATTCATGGCTTTTGTGGGTCTTAAGAAGTCTTATGGTGCGTTCAAGTCATGTCGGATAGATCGTATTTACGAGTTGAACGCACATGAACGCCACCACAAAGTCATTATTACGAGTGGGAAACTCGAAATTTTCTTTAAGCCCCCGAGTTTCCGAGTTGGGGGCGTGTCAATGAGAAACATGGCGGAATCGATGGATGCTGTAGTTGACGGTAAATTTTTGTTTAAATTGATAGTTTAGTTGTCCTATAAACTTAAATTGGTCATGTTCTTGTTACGCAGCTGAAATCCAAGTAAAAAAATGCAGACCCTGTTGTATTTTCTTGTAATTTATTAAAAGAAGGTACACCGCCATCTTGTGCCGACTAAACTGACTTGAACGCACCTGACGTCGTAATTACGACTTGTCAACTCGTAAGTACGAACGTTCCAGGAGGACTTGAACGCAGCGTTAATTCACCCTTCCACAAATTTAGGCAGAAAGTCCTAAATTCATAGTCATTGCATTAGATGTCGCGTACATTGCAAAAAAAATTGTCTTCCTTAGTATTTATGTCTTGTTGTAAAGTACAGCCTTAAACTAGTTTAATTTAATTGAGATGCAAAATGAACATAGTTGAAGTCTGTTTTCTGAGAAATTGAACAAAATGAAGTGTTTGAGTAAAACACAAACAAATGTCCATCAATAAGGAATGAAGACGTTTTTCTCCCTTTGAATTAAGTTGATTTTTTTGAGCCCATTTGCAGATATTTTGTCTTGTTTTAATCTTTAACTCACTTTATTTTGAACAATTCCTCAGAAAGCAAGACATGTTATCTTACTGGATGCCATTTTGCTTCTCAAGATAATGTATCTTGATTTAAGATTTAGATGTTTGCACAGGAAAACGGTAAAAAAATTAGGTAGGTAGTTGAAGGTAGAGTAAAAGTTATTCACATATTCTCTTTACACTATATGTTTAAAAAAAAAAAAAGGTTTGCATTTAGAGAACATGCTGACATGTCGTTCCCTTTAATTTATTCCTTTTAATTTTCTTTAATTGGTTTAAACAATGTACCCTCTTAAAGCCTGCAGAAACCCTTGCATTAAAATACATTTCCAAATTGTATTGCAGGAAATACAACAGGATTTCAACATTGCTCAGAAAATTGAAAGCATCCTTCAAGAGTCGAAGTTTAGCGACAAGAGGGCACGTTCCATGGATATAGATGATTTCATGGTGTAAGTATGATGCACTTTGCTTCATTATTGTTTTTGTTTTTTTGAGGGGTGTTCGTTAAGTATCTTTTCTGCATCCGTTTTTTATGGTAGGCTTCTTCATGCATTCAACTCCGCTGGGATACACTTCTCCTAAGACAGCTACTAGGCTGACAGGAAGTGATGTCACAATCTTCTCCTATTTTGTTGATGCTATGTGAAGAAATGAATGATATTTATTTTCAATGGACATGCAATGGGACAACTAATCACTCAGGCTGGAAATGTTTTGTGCCTTTCCTGAATCAGGAAGTATTTACGAACTTCATTCAGAGTTAAAACTAGTGACTGTGTTAAGAGGTTTTGAAGAGGACATCTTGGGTTTTTGTAACTTGTCTTTATGTACTCACTCTGCAGTTGTGAGTACACCAGTTTACTCTTCATATAACTGAGGTTGTCATAAAGAATATTAAACTTCATCCCCATCAGTCTCAGCACTGCACACACAACATACTATCCCGCCACTGTGTACTGCTCAATACTGAACTGTCAAACTGAGAAATTATAAACTGCTAACACTTCACAATAAGGTTCAGTTGGTTAACTATGTATCAGGTGTCATGAACTAATTGATGGCATTTTTACAGCATTTTGTATCTAGCTTAATGTTAATTTATAAATATAGTAATTGTTAATTTAGTAAACTTGGATTAGTATATATATAAAAATTAACCTAAGTTAATAAATGGTGTAAAAGTATTATTAATTATTTGGCCATGCTAGCTATTGGATTAATGTTAACCACTTGGAACTTATTTTCAAGTGTTACCTAGAAATTTTGATTAATATTCTACCAACAGTTAAGGTAATAAGGTTACTGGTATGTAATCTTTGTGTAAATATAATGGCTAATTATGTAATAGGTGATTAAACTAATCTCAGATTCATTTAAGGCATGTTTCTTAGGAAGGTTTAGCTGTACAAGGTCAATAAAACCATTGAAAAAGTATTGTGTTAAAACTTCAGTATTTAAAAATCAAGAACAGGATCTGCATATAAATGTTTTGACTTTAAAAGAAACTTGAGAAAACGTTTGTTTTGTTGCTCACATATCCCGTGTCAGACTTGTCAGTAGTGTGTTTCTATTATAAATCACTTTGAACCGTTCAAAGACACTCAACAGCTTTAAATTGTTGTGCTGTCAGTGAAGCCGAGTTTCAGATCCTCCTGTTTTGATGCAGGAGGAAAGTGAAAGTTGGAAATCTGAACTTGGGAAAAGTTGCTTTGATGCAACAATTATATAGTGAAAATACTTTTATTTTCCTCTTTTTTTTTTTTGTTTTTTTGCATGATAAGGAACACTTGAGTAAACTTTTGATTACATTACATCATGTTATGCTTGCCTATGTTTTACCTTATTCTGTGCCATGCTGAACATAAAAATACAAATGAATGACCAACTTCCTGAACGTACTACTCAAGAAAAAAAGTAAAAACGTGGTCTAGCTTGCTGGTCTGTTGGACAGTTTTAGAAGGATTATGGGCACATTTGAGCTGATCCGACCCAGTTAAACAAGTCTTTTTCTTTCAGCAAAGTGCATTCTATGTTCTTTCATAAAAATGCTAAATAATGGTGGAAATTCACATGAAATACAATTAAACGAGTTTGGTCGTTGTTGGAATAAAAGTGGATTATTCCTATGGGGGTTTCGTGCGAGTTTCCAGCTGTTTGTTGTCGTTATATTATTTGGCCACTAGATGGCTCTCAAGTACCGCTACAGATGTCTTATAGAGCGTACTATGTACATGAAGGCTAATAGCGACTTACTTTAAGTACATGACTAAAGAAAGCAAAAAGTGTGCATGAGAATCATCTTTTAAAAATGAATAAAATGGAAATAGTTTTGCCACAGCATAGGGCATAATTAGGAGGATTGAGACAGGATTGATCAAATCAAGTCGGTAAATTCTGCATGTTTTCCTCCTCAGCGTGGCTCATTTCACTCCTACCAACACCAAAATGTCACTCAGTGTCACTGAACTGAAGTTTCTTACCGTAGTATTGACAGATCCAGCTCTATTGATTGATAGCAGGCAGGGACTGGTATATTCTGGGGTGAAGTGTCTTGCTCTGTGGGGAACAGGAAGGAGTTGGAGCTCAACAGGTGTACACAACCTCACATGAGTGACAATGGCCTCTACTGTCAATCAATACAAGAGTTCGTGTTGACTGCCTGATGGAGCTCATGCACAGGCAGAGAGATAGATAGATAGATAGATAGAATTTTACTTTTTCATATCGTTTACTATTTTGTCATTCTTACATTACCATTAATAATTCTGGGGTCGATAGGTTTCTTTTTAGTCTCTTATGCTACCTAGGCTGCATTCATAATAGAGTAGATTATACGTGTACTATATTTAACCCTCTGGCCCTCTTTGGTCATTTTTGACCGAAAAATTGTATATTTTGACATTTAAAAAAATCTTAGCTTCATCGGAATGAGATGACACTTAGTGATTTCTGTCACATTAGCAGTATGAACACAAAAAAAAATCATGGACATGATTAGGATATGTTAAAGGGTAAAAAAAAAAAAAAAGTGACACTTGACTTCTTCGCAGTCAAAAATGACCGACATAGGAAATGAATGGGAAATACGAAAATTTTTTCATTTCTGTTCTGAAGTTTTATTAACATTTATTGAATTACATTGAATAAAATATCAATTAATTACAAAATGTTTGTATTAAGTGTTTTGAATTATCACTATCCATTCCTTATTTTGTTAGATTTTTTAATGATCAAAAACGGAGTAACAAAAATGCTTTCTATGTGTTCCCTTTCTAACAAGATTTTAATGTTTGACTGTAATCATAATGTAAAATCTGATACTTATCTAACCAAAAATATCTAAACCTTGACAAAAAGTAGTCTTTTAGAATGTCTAGATATATATCTAACTGCAAAACCTAAAACAAATGAAGAAATTATGTCTAAAAACAACGGGAATCCAAAAGCCTCTGTATATATCTATATAGGGTGCTAATACAAGAGGTTACGCAACATTACACAAGTTTAGCTTTTTTAATGCCTCAAGATGGCTCAATTCTCACTTGTGAAATATTGCATTTATTAAAAAAAAAAAAAAAATATATATATATATATATTAATTATAATGGAGAAAATAGCTCATTAAAATTTTATAAATATTGCATAGTAGCATAAAATTCCCTCAAAATCATAAATAATAATAAAAAAATATTATTGAACAAAAATATATTACATTGATTTTCCTGGAAAAAAAAGTTAAATTTCAAGGCTTTGACTTCACTTTTGACCGTGAAGGAGGCAAGTGTGACTCCTAAACGAAGAGGGCCAGAGGGTTAAAATATAGTAAAGACAGTAATATTGTGAAATATTATTGCTGTTTTCTATAGTAAAATATTTTAAAATGTAATTGATTCATGTGATGGCAAAGCTGAATTTTCAACAGCCATTACTCCTGTCTTCAGTGTCACATGATCCTTCAGAAATCATTTTAATATGCTGATTTGGTGTGCAATAAACATTTCTTATTATTATCAATGTTATTATCAAACAGCTGTGCTGATTAAAAGTTTTTGTGGAAAACATTATCCCTTTTTTTCAGGATTCTTTGATAAATAGAAAGTTCAAAACAACAGTGTTTATTTGGAATAGAAATCTTTTAACATTATAACGTAACATAAATGCCTTTGATTTAATGTTTCTGTGCTGAATAAAAGTATTAATTTCTTAATACCGACTCTAAACTTTTAAACCGTAATGAATAGGCGATTCATTTACTCATTTTTATTTTTGCATCAGTGATGCATTGAAAGAGATGGAGATAAATTTTAAGTTTTATGAAAGTTTAGAAACTCCCCACATTGACTCTCAACACTCCTCACAAATCACACATTTTAAAGCGATGCATAATACATGAAATTAAGCAGCACACACAGTTATGTTTGACATTTCTGGAGCTAAATGTCACCTGAACAGGTGTATCTTTTATTGCAGGATGTCCTGCAGTGCAACTGAACTTTTTTTGCATTGCACCTGCTCATTTAAACAGATCCCTCTCTAACTGTTTCACAACATATCGCTTTATCTTGTGGCAGATGTGACTGAATCGTCTGAGAAATCTTTGTGGCCTTACAGCAAAATGCTTTCAGCAGTATTAGAAACTTTCCGGCTGAGTCACAAACGCTCAATTATCCTTGCGCAGACTCTCCATTTTCTGTTTGGCTCCTGAAGTCATGATGAAAATGATTAATTGGGCTTTAGGTGTGAATCCCTCTCATGCTGCCTGGATACTGTCCTAGTTTTCCTGTATACGCAGGTTCTTGCCAGTCGCTGAGCCTCAGGCCTGCTGATAGAATCGAGATTAGAAATTCAAATGTCTTCTTTGAAGTAAAGCAAGCGAGCTTTTGAGTCTGGCACCCGGAGGACATGCCAACCCAGTCTACACATTGATCCTGTGAAACGTGTTTGACTTTGAAATTTATTTATTTATCTATCTTTCTACTGTATCTGGTTCTTTTTTCCCTATTAAATTGTTCACTTGGGGCAGACGCTTAGATTCTATTGATAACTCTCATATCATACAGAATAAAGGAGAACTCTGAGCGACTGGAGGCAATGGGAAATATCTGACCTGTGGTTCAAGCATCAGTTGCTGCATGGCTTAATCTGATGTTTCAAAGTCACTATTGCTTTCTATTGTAGTTGTAGAAGTTCTTCTTGCCTTCACTGACCTCTGTGTTGCAATGAATGTAGTGGCCGTTTCTGATTGGCTGGCTGCAGCAGACCGTGGGGGTGTCCCATAAATACTCACTGTAGCTTTTAGCTGCTGTCAGAGTCAATGGTGCGGGACGATCTTAACGACCCCCAGACACTGATGTCATGATAAGCTAATCTTAAAGGGACTCCATCAATGAGAAGGTCACAATGAGGATCTCATCGCAGTATTGAATTTGTTAGCTGGCTATGATGAGTCATTCTATCACATTAGGATCCATTATAGATTTTGCATCTTAGATGTGTCAGAATGTGCTTTTGTAAATTTGTGGTGCTATTGAAATCGTTTATTCATTTAGGCAGCATTTGAGGTAGTCAGAGTCCCAAAGCACTTTTTTTTTTTTTTTTTTAAATGTTGACTTTTTAATTATTATTAGGGTAGAGAGGACAGGAACTGATGTGGAGAAGATCATAACATGCTGTAAAAGTAATTATTATATTTTATATGTATTTTCAAAATGTGTGAACATACTTAAAGCCAAAATTCATGCTGTTCCAAACCTGTATGTTGTCCTTTTTTCTGCTGAACACAAAAGAAGATATTCTGAAGAATGTTGGGGGTCTAAAAAATATTGGAGCCCACTGACTCTATCGACTCGTATTAAAAAACCCCCCACCAATATCTTCTTTTCTGTTCTACAGAGGAAGGCCAGACAGGTTTAGAATGAAATTAGGGTGAATACATGATGACAGAGTTTCCATTTTGGGGTGTACTGTCGATTTTCAGAGAATATATCCTGAATTAAATAAATTGGCAAGTTATTTGCAAAAAATTTTTTTTTGTTTTAAACAGAAATCTAAATCTAATCTGCCTGTTTACATTTACATGTAGTCATTTAGCAGACGCTTTTATCCAAAGCGACTTACAAATGAGGACAATAAAAGCAGTCAAAACTAACAAAAGAGCAACAATATATTTATGTATGCATATATATATAGATATATATGCACTTATATCTAGTGCATTTTGCTTCTCTACTTAATTTATTTGGTTTTATGGATGCTAGGTATTTTACTGGAAAACATCTAAAGTGATGATTAAGACAATATTATTTTGCAGTACATGAAATGATGATGATGATGATGATAAATCATTGTACAATTAATATTTTTGTAATTTTTTTTCATTTAAAAGGTTTCCTTCAAGCAAGATTTTCAGAGAATGTATCTTAAATACAATAGTATTTTGCCTGCACTGGCCTTTAATTCTCACTTTTTAAATATAACCAAGTTATTATCTGATAAACAAGATATGAAAACAA